CATCGCACCTAATCCTACTGACACTGCATCGCATATCTCGGGGTGATAGAACATCGGATAGGCCCATCCGATACAAATATCTTGGCAGTGTAGCAAACAAGCCAACATTTACAGCTTTGTACCACAGTGATATGGTATAACTTCCTGGAACATAAATTTGTTGTTGGAAAAAAAAATTGGTTAATCTTTTGAAAAGGAAAGGCTCTGGTAAGTACTTGGAATTGGTTACATACATCAATAGTTGTATGAAAACCATATCAAACATTACACAATTTGAAAAACAAAGTTGATTTATTACCCTTGCTGTCATCATTTCAGCTACTTAACTAGGTGTATACATCAACATCTAGTATTGGAAAAATATTTATGGCAACAAAGATTACCAATAAAAGAAAGAGAATCATATAAACCAGCTATCACTTTTACCATATCATGTCTGTTTAATAATTAGTCTTTCAAAAAGATTTTATAACATATTTTTGCCAAGATGTTGACTTGGCAGATTTCTCTCTTGCTCTCTCTCTATATATATATATATATTCAAACACAACATCATTCAGACTATTCAATTTACCACCAAAAAAAAATTTATAACTGGCTTGACTTTTTTTTTTTTTTAAAAAAAAAAGAAAAAAACAAAAAACCTCAGATGTTTGACATTGATTATTGGTCTGATATAAATAAGCTAAGAAATTTTTTCGGACCATGGAGTTTTCACACAGTCACACAAGCTTAAACCAGATCTACTAAGCCCATGATTCCAAGGGTTTTTTAAAAAAAAAATGAGACAGGGGATTATTATGGATAGAGGTTAAGGGGTTTTAATATGTAGACAAACTTGTTACAGTTTTTTGTCAGAGACCAGATTGTGAAAAACAACACAGTGAGTTGTAACAGTGACACTGGGGGAATTGTACCATCGCATTTGGAGTTACGTCACCTGGTCGTTATGCGGTGTCTGTCGAATACAGTGTGTACGACATCTGTGATACTGTACAGCTACACTGCCATTCT